CAGCTCCCTCGTCGGGCTCAGGGAACCACAGGGATCCAGCAGGGATCCAGCAGGGATCCCCCAGCAGCTCTCCCACCAGCCCCTTCACCCACCGCGCTTCCCTTGCTTGGAAGGGGGTACACAGACATCAGCCCCCTCCAGCAGAGGCTTTTTCCTACCACCCCTCGGCCCTCCCCCTGCTTCTGATGAAGTCAGCAGGCTACAGATTGCATAACCGATGCACAGGGCGATCTTGTGTTATACTGGGAGGTGGGCCAACTGCTTCCATTTATAGACAAAAGCAACGCCACGCTGCCAAATAATGGAGCCTTCGCTGCAGCTACTAGAAGGAAAAAGAAAAGGGGAGGGGGGGGAAGAAACCTGAGAGCCAAAGGGCATGCTGTGATGTGACATCAGCGGGAGCTTCCTCCACGGAGCCACAGCTGCCTTTGGGGCTGCAGCCCAAGTCCTCACTGAACTACTGCCTTCGAAACACTCCCATTACAGAACTACTGTCCTGGCGCTGCTGCACGCACAGCTAGGCCGCGGGACGCGCTCGCCCCGCGGTACCGCTGCAGAAGGCACTCCGGTCTGTGTTGTGCTACCTTGTCAGTGAATTCCAGAGTTGGAAAAGGAAGAGAGCTTTGAAAGGAGCTCTGCCAGCTGACATGAGCCCCGTGCGCTATGCAGCAGCTGGAGGAAGTGCAAAGATTAGCACAAAGGTGTTACTTCCAGTGTTGTGTGTTTAGTCATTGCAAGGTACAAGAGTTTACCTACTCATAGTGAAAACTTCCTGTTGCCAGTTTTCGTAACAGGTTTAAAGCCAGGCCTTCCTCATCAAGCCGGAACACCACCCTTCCACCCGGAATATTTCTTCTCCTTTCCATTTTTTTTGGCAAAAGCTCTAAACAACCAATGACAAAAGGCCCCACTGACATCACCGGGAGCAGCCCTGGGTTGCGTGTCCCCAAAGCAGGAGCACAGCCCAGGCAAAAGGTCTCTGCTGAGAGGAAAATGCTCCCGAGTGCCTGGGAGCAGAGCTGTTTACCAAGAGCACTTCTGCTCTTGGCTGGGTTGTACAGCCCTGCCCAGCCCTGGCAGCAGTGTGGTGCCACCTGGGCTTCTGGGTGGCTTCAGCTACCCAGCCATGGGTGTGCACACCCAGCCTCCTTCCACTGTTCCTGCTGGAGGTCAGGCATGGAGGTGAAACCTGGAAGTGGGAACTGGTGATGACAGATGCAACACTAGGCTCTGCACAGCTGCCTCTTACAAACCATGCTTGCTCCAGGCCCAGATGGAGCCTCACCACAGGAGCTGAACACTGATTGAAGCAACTGAGGCTAAGTGCAGCACTTAAGCAGTTACAGAGCTTCAAACCCAAACTAATCCAAGCTTCATTGGCAGTGCTCTTCATTCCTGCACTGCCTGCCAGCTCCTCCATCCTCCTACTGCAGCCTGAGCCTCCCTGCCCCTAGACTTCCTGCTCCTCCTCATTCCCTGCCATCCCTTTCTCCTTCCTGCACCCTCTGCCTCAGCATTTTCCTTTCTCCACCACCCAGCACTGCCACCTCTTCACCCCCAAGACATGCTCCCCCAGCACCCCAGCTAACCAGCTCCTGGCTGCATGTCACTTCAGCAGCACAGCAGCCCGTGCCCACAGCCTGACTCACCCCGTGACTCAGAGGGACCCCCGTGGGATCCACAGCAGCAAGGGGACAACCCAGCTCCTCTCCCCAGGGCCCTGTGCCTGTGGGCACATGAACACAGGGGTGCCCTGTACGGGTGTAGGCGTGTAGTCCCTGAGAAGAGTGACAAGATGTCCTGGAATGGGAAAGACCTGCTGTCTTCTCAGCCTGTCACATCTGGGAAGATGGTACAGTGTGACTTGGGATTTTCACTCTGGCTATTGTCAGCAACGCCCAAAGCCCCTGTGTGCTACTCACAGACTGCAAACTGCTCTCTCCTGATCACGGTGGCTCGTGCCAGGAACAGGGAAGCTGTGCAGCTTTGCCGAGAAGTCCTCACCAGCAGGCAGGCAAAGCCAAGAGGCTGATTACACCAGGGTGGATGGTGCCAAGGCCTCTCCTCCTGGCTCAGCTGTGCTGCAGAGCAAGCTCCAACACAGGCTCTGGCCCTGGCTACACCTCCCAGGGACCCTGCTGGGACCCCTCCAGCCTCTGCATCCTCAGCCACCTGCTTTTAAAGCAGCCCAGGGGCAGAATCAAGTGCTTGGCCCCTGGACACAAAATCAGGTATTGAAAGAGCCAGGCTGCCATTCACGGAGCCAAAAAAAGAGCCACAATTTCCAAATGGTCAGCACAGCACATCTGGACAGGTTTTTACGGTTGCAGAGCACCCACTAAGATGAACTTTAGTAGGGATCTGAGTGCTTATTTAATGCCTACATGGGAGTTGCCCTCCACCGATAATCTGATCCTTAGTTAAGTAAGAGGAGCATAAATCCTGCCTACCCCACTGTATTTCCAGGGATCTCCTACAGTGAGAGGATCCTCCACAGGAGTTCAGGAGTGATATGTATACATATATGTACAGTTACGCACATTAAACATAAGTGACTTCAAAACCAGAACAAACAGGAGTAGAAAAGATATTTTCCTCTTTGTCTTAAATCTTACAACGCAGTGATTGATTCCTTCCTTGTCATTCAATCTCCCAACTACAGCTAAAAGCAATCACACCATTTTCTTTCAGAACAAGCAGAACGACCACCAGTTGATGCCCCAAGAGCCGGGCAGCTGGGTGTGGGTAAGCACAGGCAGGGACTGGCCAAGCCTACTCAT